ACTCAGGTAATCCCACATACAAAAACATATCATTTGACAAGGATGAGATTTTGGCGAATCATAAGTCCTTCATGGCTTCAATGAACATTGCATTGAACAACAAATCGGAGGACTTACCTTGTTTGTATTGGATACCTAAACTTCACAAAATTCCGTACAAACAACGGTACATTGCCGGCTCATCTGCATGTTCCACTAAAGAATTGTCCATTAGATTGACTTAAATTCTGTCCGCAGTGAAAGAGGGTCTTCAGAAATACTGTGAAACTGGTATTAACCATATGTTGATTTTTAAAAACTCTAAAGAACTTCTGGATAATTTTAAATCTCAGTCTTTTTCTGAAATTAGTTCTATCAAAACTTTTGATTTTTCAACCTTGTATACCACCATTCCCCATGTGAATTTGAGAAACCGTCTAAAAGAAATAATCCACAAGGCTTTTCATCATAAAAATGGTAGCATACGCTATAAATTTATTACTTCGGGATACCATAAGGCATATTTTGTTAATGATGAACAAAAGGGTAAAACATGCTACACAGAGGAACAAGTGATCAGTATGCTGGAGTTTCTTATTGACAACATATTTGTTGAATTTGGAGGTAGACTTTTTCAACAAATTGTCGGCATTCCTATGGGAACGAACTGTGCGCCTCTCCTTGTCGACCTCTTCTTATTTTCATATGAATCGGAGTTCCTTCAGACACTTGTCAAACACAAGAAGATCAAAGAAGACAGGTTATTTAATTTCACTTTCAGATATATTGATGATGTTCTTTCCATTAACAATCCGAACTTTTCTGATTGGGTTCCATTAATATATCCACCAGAACTAGAAATTAAAGAAACAACAGACACGGCTTCCTCTGCCTCATTTTTAGACTTATACCTCGAATTTGACATACACAGTCATCTCAGTACCAGAATCTATGACAAACGAGACGATTTTTATTTTGAAATAATCAATTTCCCCCCACCTTAGTAGCAATATACCAACTTCACCTGCATATGGGATATACATTTCCCAACTTATTCGGTATTCAAGAGCTTGCAGCTCCTAATCAGACTTTGTAAAACGTCATCAGTGTCTGAGCAGAAAGTTGATGAACCAGGGGTATGTCAAAGAACGTCTCGTCCTTTTTCTAAAAAAGTTCATCGGAAGGTACCAAGAACTTGTTGATAAATATTCCGTATCAACTTCACAAATAATACACGATGGTCTTGAAATATAGATTTTGCGTGTTTATCATCTTAGTAACGTGTTATAGTATTCTTTTATTTATCTTTATTAATATTACTTTTACTGTTAAGTCTGTTTTTTTAGATATCCATTTGATGTGACTCTGTGCTTATGTATCCCGTCATACTTTGAACGACTAAATTATTTTATTTATTAATATTACTTTTACTGTTAAGTCTGTTTTTTTGTGATATACATTTGACGTGACTCTGTACTTATGTATCCCGTCATACTTTGAACGACATAATTATTTTATTTATTGATATTACTTTTAGTGTTAAGTCTGTTTTTTGTGATATCCATTTTACGTGACTCTGTATTTATGTATCCTGAACGATAACATTATTTTATGTCTACCTGTGCGAATTTCAAACGCGCGATTTTACGCCAGTACTTAAAACCTTCAATATCCTTTATGGGTGGATTATACATAGATAAATAAAATCGTATAATATAAGCAAAATGAGGATGTTAAATTTGATGTATGCCTTTTTGTGCTTCTTCGTTACATTTGTTTATTTTTATAGTGATTAAGATGATAACACAATGTTGACTGCTGTACCCCTATTTTTGCGTAAACCCCTGAGGGTTTACGCAGTATATATTGTACGACCTCCGTAGTCTTTCGGAACAAGCTGTGCTCCAATATGGGATAAGATTTTAAGCGAAAAAAAGTGACTGTCAGTGAATAGATAGAGCGTTTTTATGATTTTAAAATTTGGCCATTTTTTAGCGAAATAAAAAAAAGAGCGCAGTCCATGTAAGCAGCGTTTAAATTCTTAACAGAATAAAGTACGGCCATATGGTTGCCAGTAATTGCTCACCTCCACTTCATTTTAACTCTAGTGGATAGTTGTCTCTTTGGCAATCATACCATATGTGCACATTTTTTATCAATCTTATATGAAAACAATGCCTGTTAACCCTGGAAATTAAGACGAAATTAAAAAGGCACTTTTTTGGTGTGTTAAATCAGTGAAATATAATACAGTATTGTAAGTGTCTGGCCAATTAAATGCAAAATTATGTCATATCGAAACAGTTGATTGATGAATACGCGTTAGACTAAGTCCTTAAAATTATTCTATAGATCTATATAAAACGATTCACGAACACCGAATTTCGAATTCTTTAAAACTTATGGTCATTGCGATAAGCAAAAATGGGGTTTGCATTAAAACGTTTAAACCCGCTGCATTTGTTTGCACCTGTCCTAAGTCAGGAATCTGATGTTCAGTAATTGTCGTTTGTTGATGTGGTTCATAAGTGTTTCTCGTTTTTTATATAAATTAGACCGTTGGTTTTCCCGTTTGAATGGTGATGTGATTTCCGAGTATTATCACTCAATACTAATACTACTAATACAATTCAACGCCTCTAATTGTACTAACTTACCAAATATCCTCTGATATGTCTCTGGTAATATGTTTCTCGTTGAGTCCTTTTTCCCGCCAATACGCCAACTCTCGTTACCTGGTAACTATCCGAGATCTTATCCTGAGTTAGGTAGTTTACAATGGATCATTCTGGGAACCGGGCTACGCGGTATATCTAACTACCGTACTGTCTACATAGTAATGTCACGTCCATTATACCATATTACACGTACAACACCCCCCCCCCCCCCCCACTTTGAAAGGAGTGAGTTTACTTCCTATTTGAATATTCACTATCACTTTTTAGTCCACCCCGTCTGGTCGCACCACAGGGATAAAAAATAAATCTCCAAATATATATTTATATATATTATCCAATGTTGACATATTAACAACATACATATATTTCAAAATTCCACAATTGCTCCGTTGTTGCTCTCCGGAGTTAATTTATAACTAGCATATCATTCCTTGATATATATATAGATGTATTAAACACAATCTATTCACATCTGATGTAATTTCCAATAACAATTAACAACTGAATTTCTATGTCCATATGATTCTGCTCCATTTACATTTCAGAATAAACCTCTGAGAACGAGATTCATTACTCGTGAATATGTCCCTGGGGCGTTGCAAAGGCCAAAACTCATTCGGACAAAGTGGAATAATCCATATTTAGTGATGAAGGCAGTCTTTTCCTTGTCTGAGTCCTTCACTTTAATCTGATAATATGCACTATTAGCGTCCAATTTTGAAAACCATTCGTTTTCCGCTAAAGTGTCCAAACATTCGTCTATCAAGGGAATCGGATAGACATCTTTTTTCGTCACGGAATTCAACTTCCGGTAATCAATGCACCAGCGCACGTTGCCATCGCGCTTGCGCACAAGTACTGGGGCAGATGCCCATTCTGATATAGATGGTTCTATTATACCTGCATCTAACATTTTCTTTAAATGGCTTTCTTCTTCGTGTGCAAAGCACATAGGTGTTCGTCTTATTCGTTGTTTGATAGGGCGCGCATCGCCTGTATCAATCTCATGTTCAATGTGGTTAAATGTTCCCAAGTCAAAATCATCTAGTGCAAAAACATCAGCAAATTCATGAAGTAAGTTTGCAACTTTGGACTTTTGGTCTTCAGTAAGTGTACTGGATTTATCCAATATGTTCTGCAACTGTTCCGGTAGTGTATTGTTATCTCTGGCTATTCCAGTTGTTGCTACTGACGGGGCTGGCCCCGTTTCAACAACGTCAGCTTCAATTGCTTCGCCTAATAGAGTTCCCTTTTGCAAAACTATCTTGTTGTTCGTTACATTAAGTAAACTGACACATGGCAAAGAACTAGCGTTGTAATAACCACGTGAGATTAACAAATCTATCTCTTTATTAGGTTCAACTATAAAATCAATTAATTCCGCTGACAAATCTGACTCTAATTGTACAACTGAATTAGGAGGTATGACTGTTCTATTTGAAACGGTTATTTTGGCTACTCTTGCTATCGCGTTCACAGGCGGTACCAGTCCAACATGTCTATGAACCATAGGTAATGCCTCTCCATTGATGAAAAAGACTAATTTTCTGCAATCTAAAATTACTTTTGCTTTGACTAGAAAATCAAGTCCTAATAGCATGTCATTATCAATAGGCGTAACATAAATATCTGTCCGATATGTTCTTTCACCAATTTGTAATTCAACTTGTCCCACTACTAATGCATCCATGTGCATACCACGCCCTGTTGCATGCATTGTTGTTTTTCTTTTCATGGGTGGTTTTTTGCTAAGAGATTCTTAAACTTTGTCAGAAATGATTGTTAATTCTGCTGCGGTATCTACTACCGAAATTACAGGCTGCCCATGCACTTAAAGTGAATCGAAGCATAGATGCTGAGCCTAACTGGCAAATAGTTCCTCCTAAGTGTACAGGATCTTGCAACTGAAAGTCAATTACTTTCTGTAAATCATTATCAGGCTGCGTTGTGTGCAATTATCAGGCTGCGTTGTGTGCAATGGTGAATTAGACAGAGTATCTGTGGATGTTGACATGTCACATGTTTTTAACGGGGTAATCCCCGAAACAGGTGTCTTGTTTCTTTCGTTTGAAATAGTGTTCAACGTTAGGCGGTTAGGTGTGGTCTGAGTCAGGGTTCCGCCCTTTAGCCCGACTCCTTCTGGTTTAAATGGTCTGTATAATTATTTCCTGTCGTTGAATGTAATTCAGGACAATCCCGTTGTATGTGTCCAAACTGATGACAGAAATAGCAAGCCATATTTGCTAATTTTTTCAAGTGGTATAGGTCCCCAGCGCCTTTTAAATGGTGATTGTCGCTGATTATCTTGCCTATTATCCCTGTTACGCCATTGTTGGCCAATACCTTGATTTTGTTTGCTGAATGGTTGGGTTGCTGGCTGGACTTCATTTTGTGCAGGAAACTGTTTTGCCTGCTGTTGTTTTTGAAGCTGCTGTTTAAGGTCTCCTTTTTCCTGTTTATGAAATGCTTCCATAGCAGTCATCTTCTCTAGCAATGTTTCCATTTGTTTAGACAATTCAGACTTTGTGTCTGTCTTACCAATGGCGTGAACAGCTAGGTCGCTATCATAATCACTTGGTTCATCCTGAGTTGGTGTTGGGTCACGTCTACCGGTTGGTTTACCAAATATAGCTGTGTGGTTATGTTGGAACCATTTTATCTGGTCAATTACTGCTTCAACAGATTTTGGTCTGGCTGTGGCTCCATGTTGACCAACTTCTTTATCTGAGCATCCCTGGAATATTTTCCAGATAGCTTGTGTATACATATAACTGTCGGGAAGATTTCTAAAGGCTTTACAGGCTAACGAGAGAACTCGGTCTGCCCAACCTTCTAATTTCTCATTTGTATTTTGTCGTGCACTCATAAACTGAACTTGCAAAGTCTCTGGTAAATCTTGAAAATTAAACCTTTTCTCTAATTTGTGAATTAATTCAAAGTAATCCACACCTTGGTCTCTATCCAGTAAATTTGCATAGTAATCACCTGCTTTACCATGTAAACACCAACAAAGTTGATCTTTTCGTTCCGTGGTAGTCCACGATAAACGATCAGCATCCCTCTGAAACTTGGTGTAAAAAGTTTTCCAACTTGATGAACCATCATACTTCAGTCCTTTTGGTATTTCTAGGTTCTTTGATTTTGGTTTCGCTTTAGGTAATAATTGCGGTGACTCCTCATAACTTAAAAAAGGTCTTGGAGGGTACATATTTCTCTTTATTGTAGAAGAGTGTGTTGGGTTTGGTGTTCTCAATGAATATACTGGTTCCCTAAATATTTCTGGTGAAGGTATTCTGCGACGGTTTTCAGGTGAAGGTATTCTGCGTCGAATTTCTGGTGAAGGTATTCTGCGACGGATTTCAGGTGAAGGTATTCTGCGTCGAATTTCTGGTGAAGGTATTCTGCGACGGATTTCAGGTGAAGGTATTCTGCGTCGGATTTCTGGTGAAAGTATATGTGATTCTACCTGTTGATGACGTCTTGGGACTGGGACTGGCCTTTCTGATCTAGGTTCGTGCTGGTTGGGTCCTTGCTGCCATCCAAATTTTGATGTCTGCTGTTGTGTATTTTGGTTACGTGAATCATCACGTTTTTCAATGTGCTCATTGGGACCTTGCTGCCATCCCAATTGTGATGTCTGCTGCTGTGTATTTTGGTTACTTGAATAATCACGTTTATCAATGTTTTCCTCGACATTTAATCTGATACTTGGTTTCGTGTATCTAATTCATCTGTTCTATGAATTTTGTCTGGCTTAAACTGTTGATCAATTGAAAAATCTTGAACTTTATCCTGGTCATCATACTTGGTTTGTAGTAATGGTTTTCATTCATCAGGTCTTGACAATTTTGTTGAATACTGGTGGTACCCATACTGCAAATTGTAATTTAATGGCTTGCTCATTGCTGAACTGGGACGTGATAACTCACGTTTGACTTCCTCAGGCTCAGGTTTAAGCAAACATTCATCAGAAGGTGTGTCAGAATCTGAAAAGTCATTGATTTCTGCTTCTCGTCTTGCATATTCCGAATGAAATCCAGATGTTTTAACTTCACCATAATCAACATAGTCTTGTAAATCATAACTTGACTGAGTCCGTGATTTGTATTCTTGTAGCTGTGTAGCTGGTGAAAAATCTATCAAATCCATCAAAGTTTCAGTAAGTCGTAGTCTTGGTATTTCAGAAAGATGCTCAAACTGAATATTACCATATATCTCTCTCAAAGAGATAATCTTGTCAGCTGTGACATTTCCAACACCAGGTAACAATAATAATTCTTAATAAGTACAGCTATTAATCTTTGTACGCTTCTTCTGAAAAGCTAAGTCTGCCATTATGTTATTATAAAACAAATACAATTCAATTAAATCACTGGTTGCTGAACCAGAAAAAAAAATTAATGTGTATGTGCTATGTGGCTAACCACACAAAAAACGGCTAATTTTTCCGAAAATGGCTAATTTTCTCCAAATTGCTCTGATAACGGCTAATTTGTCTAATTTCTACACAAAACGGCTAATTTTAGCAAAACGTGAAACAATTTTCGAAAATAAAAAAAAAAAAATTTGTAAACACTGTAATTAACGCAAGTTTTTATGCTTATAATATTTCCGTGTTCAAACACTTCGTAATATACCAAATATAGCAATATGAACTTCGCAATGACACGTGACGTACTCACTTCTGTTTCTCGATTAATTCGTCTTTTTAACACAAGAAACCCTGCTCGCCAAGCGCCAGTGATGTGATTTCCGAGTATTATCACTCAATACTAATACTACTTATACAATTCAACGCCTCTAATTGTACTAACTTACCAAATATCGGATTCCTCTGATATGTCTCTGGTAATATGTTTCTCGTTGCGTCCTTATTCCCGCCAATACGCCAACTCTCGTTACCTGGTAACTATCCGAGATCTTATCCTGAGTTAGGTAGTTTACAATGGATCATTCCGGGAACCGGGCTACGCGGTATATCTAACTACCGTACTGTCTACATAGTAATGTCACGTCCATTATACCATATTACACAACAATGGTTTTACACTAGTAATTTTTGGGGCCGTTTATAGCTTACTGTTCGGTGTGAGCCAAGGCTCCGTGTTGAAGACCGTACTTTGACCTATAATGGTTTACTTTTATAAATTTTGACTTGGATGGAGAGTTGTCTCATTGGCACTCATACCACATCTTCCTATATCTATTTGATATATTCCTCGATGTTTGCCATCGAAAACTATTGTAAATTACTACCGGTATGTTGTTTTTGAGAAAAGATTAGCAATATTGTTTACGTACTTATTTAGTGATGATTATCTTATCAAGTCAGAGATCCGTTTGTCTTCTCTTTTGTTTGGGGGGGGGGGGGGGGGGGAGGGAAGAGGAGGTGAGTTTTCAAAGGGACACTGACCTGTGTCGACAACCCTATCCAAAAAATATAGTTATAAATAAGAAATGAATGCTTCTTTTAGCAATTTGATAGGGTTGAAAAAGTGTTGATCGCGTACACATTTATAGAAAGAAGCGCATTCTTTTGTTTTTGTCATGTGAAACCCCACCCCAAATAAAGCTAGTTTAAACATAATGTAGCAGATGCACATCTTTGTGTCTTATAAGTCTTATAGATGAAGTTTTGGGAATTCCGTCAATTCGTTTACAAGGAGTTGCGGCAATCTGTATTCTTAAGTCAAGTTAGAGGGTCTAGTTGACAGAGGCTCAGAGCGTGTTTGGCGAAAAATTAGGACGATATGTTATAAGCAAAATAAAAACACACATAAAAAACCCAGCTTAGTACAAATTATTTTTCTTAAAATGAAAGTCAATATCCGTATTCAACGGACAGGCGATTGAAAAAATTACATTTTTTTTAAATCGCGTACTGAACTACATGTATACTGCATTGGCCTTTTCATTCCTGCTTCCTTCTCAGTTTCTATCACACAGCCGTATAAAAACAACAAAGCTACAGCTTCTCTTTATTTGGGCAAATTTACAAAAGGACAAGCTAGAAATAAAAAAGTGAGATTCGTTTGAAAAAGTATAAAGTTCCGGTTTCAAACTGTTTCACTCCAAAAGATTAGTTTGAATTTGTTGCCCGTGCATGGTATTTATAAATTGATAAAAAAAATCGTGAATATGATAGCCAATGACCAAACAACAAAACAAAAGCAATATTAAAAAAAGAAAACTTTAATGTAATTATCTATAAGTATTTCGGCGAGGAAAAATAAAAAATTTGCTTCCGCAATTTGCAGATTTAACATTGTTGTTATGATATTTAGAGTAGTTATATGTATATAAACCATTAATATTAATATATATATATATATATATATATATTTATAAACCAGTTTGATACGTTTTCAACAACAAAAAATGGTTTTAGTTTGGGATTATCAAAAAAGAATGCAGCTTAGAATTTTTAACTATTTTCAAACTGGCTACAAAAACAAATAATGATCATGACTAATTGATTAAATTTCTTCACATTTGCATTTGAACTTTTAAATTAGCCTGAAAACTAACTCTTATCTAAAAAAAAACAGCACCTTAGAATGGAACATCCAGTAGGTGACTTAGCATGTTGTCTATCGGGAGAGCGGAGATACAAAAAATGATTCCTTTAACAAGAATATTTCACCCCACATTGAACAGTAGTAACATGAACAATCAATGTCAGTTTCTAATTCTTATACAACAAAAATAATGTAAAACAATGCATCTTTATTAAACAGTTATCTGATATTTAATGCCAAACAAGCATTTAGATTTACGATTGCATTCCTTTTTTTAAAGAAAGCAACTTGTTGGCAATTTTACCAATTGTGTCTGTTTGTTTTGTTCACGCATCGTTATCAATATAATGGAACTTGATGCGACTGTCATACAAGTGAGAGGTTTAGCTAGCTATAAAACCAGGTTCAATCCACCATTTTCTACATAAGAAAATGCCTGTACCAATTCAGGAATATGACAGTTGTTATCCATTCGTTTGATGTGTTTGAGCTTTTAATTTTTCCATTTGATTATGACTTATATCTAGAAATTGACTATGAGGGTCGGTTGAAAACAAAACTTTACGACAAAAGAGATGATTTTAGCTTCCCAATTGTGAATTTTATTTTTAAACAAAGAGTTCCAAATGGTGAAGTTGAAATCATCACTTTGTAAATTTTACGGACGCCATCACGAGTTGGTTGACCGTTATGAAATATCCGTTTCACAAATGATATCGGATATGTTCCTTATGTCGTAAGTACAATCCCGTTCCCTTTTCACGAATGTGACCTACCGAATTAGACTATTTACCCCTATTTGTGACATTTTTACCAATTGTTTTTGTTTGTTTTGTTCACACATCGTTGTCAATATACTGGAATTTGATGCGACTGTCATACAAGTGAGAGGTTTAGCTAGCTTTAAAACCAGGTTCAATCCACCATTTTCAACTTAAGAAAATGCATGTACCAAGTCAGGAATATGACAGTTGTTATCGATTCGTTTGATGTGTTTGAACTTTTGATTTTACCATTTGATTGGGGACTTTCCTTTTTGAATTTTCCTCGGAGTTCAGTATTTTTGTGATTTTACTTTTTCCTTGATAGAGGGTTGCTGCTCACAAGGAAGCTATTAAACCAAGAGTTCCAAGTGGTGAAGTTGAAATCATCCCTTCGTAAGTTTTATGGACACCATCACGAGTTGGTTGACCGTTATGGAATATCCGTTTCACAGATGATAGCGGATATGTTCCTAATATCGTAACTACAATCCCGCCCCCCCCCTTTTTCCCGAATGTGACCTTCCGAATTAGACTTATTACCGGGTTTGTACTAACATGAGCAACACAACGGGTGCCACATGTGGAGCAGGATCTGCTTACCTTTCCGGAGCACCTGAGATCACCCCTAGTTTTTGGTGGGGTTCGTGTTGCTCAGTCTTTAGTTTTCTGTGTTGTGTTTTGTGTACAGTTGTTTGTCTGTTGGTTATTTTCGTTTTTAGCGATGGCGTTGTCAGTTTATTTTCGACTTATGAGTTTGAATGTTCCTCAGGTATCTTTCGCCTCTCTCTTTTATAGAAAAAGAGTATCATTGAGATATGACCAAAAACACAATATATTGTAAAGAAAATACCTAATAGTAAAGTAAAATTAAGATTATTCTTCAGATACCAACTGGGAAAGTTTGTATGTATGTCATAAGTTTTTTTTAGTGAAACTTCTTTAAGTTTATACTTACTTTGTATTTCAGATAGCCATGGTGACAGAAGGACAAATTAATCTTACAATAAAACAAAATTTACAAACATTTGAATAAAAAAAATCTAGATTCAAAACAAAAGTGTGAAATATGAAGCACAGAATAAGAAGGATGTTGTTTGATTGACTGATTGTTGTTTGTTTGCGTTCAGTGGCAAATATTTTATGTTAATATAGGACGAAAACAAATTAATAATAAATCAAACAAGAAATAATTGTAACAGGATGCTGTTACGAAGTCTCCCAAACAAAGCTATCATAATTCTTCAGTCCCATGGTCGCCTGACATTTGGTAAGTCCAGTACAAATTGGTTTGGTCTAGTAAAGTGATATGCATAAGTGACGCCTAGGGATTGACCCTGTTTGTCATTTAAATCTTCTTGAAATGACGAACAGGAATACATATGGTTTAGGGGATTGGATCTCGACCGTTTACAAGTTCTTAAAAGGGGTGGGGTTTGTGATCCCAAGGGGACTCGCCCTTTATTTCGTTTGATTTGTTTTTTTGTCCCATACAAGAATATATATGGTTTAGGGGTTAGGACCTCGACTGTTTACAAGTTTAAAAAAAAGGAGGGGTGGGGTGACCCCCGTGGACTTCCACTATATTTCATTTGATTTGTTCTATTGTCCCATGTTTCATGTAAGTATAGAGTCGGTAGCTTGAACCTTTTAAACAATTCACCCAGTATAAACAAAAATCAAGAACCAATGAAATCCAGTCATATCTATAGGAATAGTGTGCATCGAGCGACGCGGATTCAAAGGTTTGCAAATAAATAACGCTTCATATATATATATCATCTATCAGTAACTGTTCGTTAGAATTACCTCGAAGGAAACGGACGTCACAGAAAATATAACTTGTATATTTGATAATGAGCAACTTTCT